TCAACTTAGCAGCTGCAACCGGTACTGAAAATTTCGAGGTTCGTCCGAAAGCGGTTCGGAGGTGGTTCGGGGCAAAAGCAGCTCCAAGCTCTTCCAGGTCTTGCCGAAATGCAATGTGTCCCAAGGCCGCGCCAAACTTACGGACCGGGCGGGTTTATGTTCGTCCAAGATTGTGTTTTTCTGTCTAAAAAATTTGATTTGAAAAAAAAATGTTCTAAGCATGTTGTTTTTTCAATCTTAGTCTCAGTTTTTGCAGGTTCCTGCTGTTTGTGCCGGATGTAGGCTGAAAGCACCTTCTTGGATACCTGCGTCTCACGGGCGCTTTCGTCCTTGCATGGCAATCCAGGCTGTCGCTTACCGGTGCGGCACCAAATGGCCTGAGCATAAAAAAGCATCTCCAGCATGGACACAGGCTTTGGCGGAAGTTGTCTTCCGCTACGTTGTTTCTGTCAAAGCGAGACTTCTTCATCATCGAGCCAAGCTTTCAAAACTCACCGCAATTATGCTTGTGCTGCACTTTGCCTTGCTCTGTACTAGCTGACCACCGAGCACTGCAAGAGGTTTGCGAAAGTTCTAGACAAGTAGTAGCTCTCACTCTTCTTATCGTGCAATGCGGCACTAAGACTGGCAGCGGCTAGTATGTAGTTTTGATGCCACATCTGAAACACAGTCTTAATGCTGCGAATCAACTTCATCAAGAGGGCAATGAGGTTGGAAATCAAATTTATTATGACCTTCCATGGGTGGAATGATGATTGGAGACGCTGCCAACTTACCTCCCAAGCACGGACGAAGACTTCCAGGTTGAGAGACCCTAGGAAGAAGGCAAAAGTGACCCAGTGGTCCAAAACAAACTCGCTTCCATGGGTTCTAGATACAGAATTCACTCCAGTCTAAAAGGAGGTCAAAGGGAACCAAGTGATTATTCAGCAGCATGCCCTCCAGCCGCTCTAATTTTGAGACACTTTGGAGCCAACTCTGGGCTTGGTGGCGCCAGGTTGCTCCAGCTGAAAGGACTAACCACTTCAGAATAACATCTAAAACTAGAAAATTGGAAAAAGATTACGTTTTTAAACAGAAAATGTATTTTTCTATACTCTCGAAAAGTTTTTCCAACCCGGCGCTTGTTCACCCCTAAACGGGAATTTTGAGAGCATTTAGTTTTTTATTCAACCTCGCTCGAGGCAAAAAAAAAAGACTGCGCGGGGCCGATTCCGGACGATATTTGAAAACCCAATTTTCAACCGCACTTCTATTCATACCACTGCCACCACTACTGCTACTTCTCCTACCAGTTTTTTTAAGTCGAACACGCACAACCAAGCCCTCTTAACTCCCGGAGACATTCTGGGTACTTCTCAGTGGGCGGAACTTCCCTGGAGAAGAGCGCCGGTGCTACTTTAAGATTGGCCTGCATGTGAATTACCTCGCTACAGTGTGCAGTAGACAGGCGAGCGGGCGTTTCTGTCCTTTTCCATTCTCTACGCGCGCTCGAGTACCAACTCCCTAGAACTTTGAAAGCGGCAACAGCAACATGCCATGCAGTTGTGTTACATGAACTGTACATGGACTCATAGCAAAGCAACAGGACTGAAGATATTTCAGCCCCAGGATCCGTGTGCGTGTTCTGCATTTCATAATAGAAAGTTTCTTGATGACGCGAAAGCTTGTTTATAATGGCCGACGCAATCTAAACGGTGTTCAGGAGCACCCTGAGCCGAAGACAATTCTGCATGGCAATTTTTTGTGTCGAGAAAAGTTTGAGCTGTCGGTCCGAAATTATATTTTTGATGGTAGAAACTTTTGATTGCAAAAAGGGTCTTTTGATGGATGTTGCCAGTTTTCCAATTTGTCGTGTGGCAAGCGCATCGTATGACCGCAAAGCTGCTTACAGACGGCATTACGTACGTACGATGACCTGGGTGTTAACTTGTTGTTTGTCACGTTTCCGCAGCATGCCAACGCCGTTTGTACCATGGACATGTTGACGTTCTTCCATCTGTATGGATCGGAATATGGTTATGAAGTTTAAAGCTGATGAGTTCACGGACCCCTTCACGGCACTTTGCGTGTGCATTACTTTTAGCCACACGAAATGTGACATGGATGCTCTTTTCATCTCCCCTTTTCTTCTCAGGCTCTTGAACACAAGCTGGATTCAGAAACAAGCGGCAACTTTGCTCGGGCACACGCCAAATTCAAACCCTCCGATCACATGTGCGCTCGCTGCTCTGAATTCCCAACCATGATGGCATTGAAGTCTTGAGGACGCATGTTCATCGCAACAGCGCCGGCGTGTCTCACTGATGCGTTCTCTGCATAAGATGACAAGAATCCCTTGGCTATGGTTAGGGCATTATTTTCAATTGTGTCGTTAAATACCTGTGATGGCACAAGATGCCAATGCCTGCGGCTGCGTCAGCTACGTCAGCGTGTCGCATTTGCGTCAGCTACGTCAGCGTGTCGCATTTGGCAATCCATGATGTGCAGCCGGGAGTCGTTATCAACGAGATTTCACACGTTTTCTTAGTGAAAGGCAAATCCTCCACCAGGCAATGACCGAAGGTGCTTCGCAATTGACAGCTGACGAGTGTGCATGTACGATGAAGCTACAGCGTAGTCGATTGTTCATCACATAGCGGTTGCAAATTCCAGCGTGTGGGGTGGGCACACGTGATTGTGAACTTGTTCAATGGATTGATGTCGGGCAATTTTGTTTGATGAGGCTCTTCTGCTGGTTGGTCATCTCTAGTGAGTTTGTTCACGCTTGAAGGTTCCGTGCCACCAGCTATCATTGGGGCGGGGCAGGTGTGATTGCGAAACGTGCGGGTGGTGGAATACCGCCGCCTGCTCGCTCCGACTCAGGTGAGTGAAAAGCTTCGTTGCATTGCGTCTTCTGAGCTTCTAAGTGAATGCAATATACTATTGGTGACGTGCCATTATTGATGATTGCTGTCTACTTCACACTTCACGATTCAAATTCATTTTGATTGCTTGTGTCCTTGCTTTGGACAACAATCGGAGATGTTCAAACGTCCAAGTTGTTGGCCGTGTCAACAACAGATTTTCATTTTGTGCTATACAAGCGATAAGCTCACTAGTCCCGTACATTGAGTTCCGCATGAAGCGAAGCCACGACAATGCAGTTTTCCCGTTCAAGTTCCGTCTGCGTATTCATACATGTGCTGACAATGTGGCTCCATCCAGGATCTGATTTCGTTTTGCAAGATTTTCGTGGAAACCTGATAAACCAATTGCAAGGCGGAAAATGCGCATATGTGCCACATTCAGAGTGGCTCAAAAATTTTGGTTACGCATGCAGTTGTGGCAGTCACAAGTTACAAGCATAAGGTTGTCAAAATGGTGAGGGCATGCATTTAATTTTTTGTGCAGCAAGATGAGTGTTAGCAATATGAATGAGCTCATCATTTCGTGGTGAGGTTTCACATTCTGTCCGGATTGTGTGTTTTGGTCGCCGAACTCATGGTTTCATGTCATTCCGGCAATGCACTGACGGTTGAGAGGCCTTTGGCACAAGGTGCCCGTGCCTGTATGGGAAGCTCGCGTTTTAGCCGCAGCCTGCTCACAAAGTAGCCATGGACGAGTCGCTGGATGGAATCAGTGACCGTGGTATGGTTGAGGCGATTCTGCAGCAGCTGGAGTTGGTTAAGGTATCCATACAAGACATCCACGGAAGGCTTTCTTGCCTGGATGATTTTCAAAGAGCTCTCACACAATTGGAGCAATCCCATGAGTTGTTGCGATGTCGAGACTCAGGCTTGGCCTCTGGATCAATTGACCTTTTCGGGGCCAGAAGACGGAAGTTGATGGGTGAGGCCAATCCCAAGATAGGCGAGCGTTCTCGTTCCCATACTTCCCAAATTTCTTGGGAAATGTCCAGCGCGCCCTCCATGTACAAGATGTTAGATGTGCTTGAAGAGCATACAGCAATGCAGCTGCAGAAGCAGCTGAGGAGAAACTCTACGCGTGGACTGGAGGATGAAAGAGCTGTGGGACCTGCAGAGCAAGCGGAGCCCAGGGCAAAAACTATCGGTCACCAGCCGAGTTCCTTTGACAACTCTCCGCGTCACTGCGTCAGTCCACAGCTGGGATCCAGCTCTTTCTCATCTGTTTCTGTAGCTTCACCTGTCAAGGCTCAGGCTCCAAAGACCCCGACACACTCCAGACCAAATCTTGCCCAGCCCAATGAGAATCACGAAGTCGTGCGCCTCTGCCGGAGGAAGTCGCTTGACGAGCTTCAGGCAAAGCATAATGCAGCCATCACAGCACCGACAGCAATCACGCAGCCAATAGGTGATGTTTGCAGTAGCATGGATGTGGCTCCAATGGCAGGTTTCCGCACTGTCCGTTCAAACATGGACCGGACAGTTCTGCCTCCCCTTGGCTGGTTCTTTCTATGTTTTACGGGTCTCTTGGATGGCTTGGACGGGAGGACATGGCGTGGCCTTGCACAGTTCAGCCTCTTCTTGCAGCTGATGATTGTTTGCCTTCTGTCTTTTCATCTCGCCGTTTGGCAAGGCACCTCTCAGGAGGTAAAGCCTTGTGTATGGATTATTTTGTACTTGCTCGGCACCTTGGTGGCTGCGGTCAGCCTTCGCAGGTCAAAGATCAGCACCCTCCTGGGACCAGCAGATTATCCGCTGGACGACTATGCGACCTGACTTTAGTTGGCAAATGTTGTAGATTTTAAGCATGCTGGCAGCCTGTGTATGGGCCAAGGATTGTTCGAAGTCCTGAGAGCCTGTAGTGATTCATGCACCTGTCAGGCAAACGAGTGCGAATTTTGGGATGATTGGAGGAAGCTCTCCAGGCACCGACTCTTGCAAATCTGCGGAGTCTTCTTCGTGATGCTCGCTAGCCGTGCTGCTGCGCTTGTATCCGCAGGCCACCCCAGCTTTGGCGGAAGGCTTGATGCTCCCAGGTTTGATGCAGCGATGATGGTTGCATTTACAGTGATGGCACTTTGCTACTCCGCCGCCTGCCGCTTGCCATCGCTTGCCAGTCTGGTTCGTAGGCGTCGTAGACTGTACTTGGAGGTAGCCGCACAATTTTGGTCTAAGCATCGAAACATGGTCTTTACCCAAGATTGGATAGCTCAGGCTATTGTACGCTTCACGTGACCGCTGGCCTGGAGTTGGCCGTGGACAGCTTCGCAATGCGTTGCTTCAAGACTGGTGACATGGAGGTGGCTGTTCTGGAATGGAACGTGGTCCAGGCCACCTTGCGACAAACCTCCTGCAAGCTGAGCGAGTTTTTAGGGGTTCTGGCCACATCCTGCATCAGTTCAGTCATTCTGTTTGCATCTCAATGTTTTTCGATGAACAATTTAAATTTGCACTACACGACGTTGGACGTCGTCCTATGGCTTGGTTGGCTATTCCCACCCCTGTTACTCTTTTTGTACACGTTATCAAGTGCTGCAGCGGTTACTGAAAAGGTTGACCGCTTGGCACCACTGGTGAACTCATGGTTTTTTGTCGACCAAGACATTTTGGACGGTTCCAGGCAGTACCTAGTGCAGTATATTCTGTACAGCCGGGCAGGTTTCTATACTAGAGGAATCCGAGTCACCGCCTTCAACGTACAAAAAATCTGCTATTACTTGGCAGCTGGATCATTTGGCCTTTTGACTAATTTCTGGCAGTAGACCAAACCTGCCAAGCTCCAGATGTGGTGGCCGAGATCCGGGTGACTCGAGTCTCACAGAGCAGAGAATGGCACGAATTCGTAGGGAATGTACATCAGCCTAGTACAATGTAGCACACTTGCGAAATCACGCAAGCAGGTCGCAGATGCAGCAGCTTTCATTCGTGTTCAAGTTGTTGGGGTGACCAGTGTTGCGCGGCATGAAGCTTAGAAACATTTACAGTTTGACTCTGCGTCCCACATGCTGCAAGTTTTGATTGCAGTTTTGTGAAGTCGTGGCTCCGGCGTCTCGAGAGCACGTTCTTCAGCCACTCCATGCAAGTTGCCAAGCACTTGCGCTCACGGAATTAGACAGTGGCATCGCACCAATGAGAGAAGCCTGGCTGTGACATTCAAACAGAGAGCCATTACAGTGAAGGGGGAGTTACATCCGCATCGCAAGCAAGAATGCTACCAAACAATATGGAGCTATGCCCAAGTTTTCTGTTGTGGAAGTTATCTGTGTTCTGCCACAGGTCAGCTTGGGATCGCCATTCCAAATCTTGTTCCACCGAAGTGCGCGAACATGAACCCTTGATTCGATAGGTTGTTTGAAGCCCAGCGATTCTCCTCTCTTTGGTGAACATAACATCCCGCCATGCAACCCTGCTTTCGAACCTGGAGAAGCCTACGACCGGTTGAGGGCTCTTAACGAGAAAGATTGCAGAAAGGACTGACTTCACATGCAAACATGCAGGGCATGTCAAGGCCAAAGCTTACCCTTGCTTTTGCGGCCATTCTTCTCAACGAAAGCTACAGCATAAACGTGAGTGCCAAATATTAGATAGCGCAATGTGGGCCTGGACGCCATGGTTTGCGATTTTGATTCTGGTGTGCAGTGCTGCGCGCACAAAGGAAGGCCAAGTAAGTCGGGATAACTTTGAAGTCATCCCTGACCTGCAGCTGTACCCTCGGAACATGAAGGGTCCGGAGGCTTTGACGGCATCGCAGGCAAAGTTGCTGCAACAACGAGTGGCGAGGTGTTACAATCCACGTGCCAGCAGGGAATATTCTGACGTCCAGTGGCAGCCAGCCCTTGACAAGTACACGCGAGGAAGTCACTGGTGGATTAAAGAAGGTGCCCCGAGTTATTGTCACTGGCATGGCCTGGAGTGCATATTTGCCAGTGACTTGGCTGCAGCAGGGCGTTTCAGCTTGGAGAAGTCTTGCATTTGGATCGGATTGCCCACCAGTAGACCACAACTCAGGAGAAGTACATGCCCCATCACTGGATCTCAGCCGTCATCCCCGATCTTGATGCCTCGCCCTCCTCCCACTGCTTGGATTTCAACTACGACCTGCCGGGGGAAGATCCCAACGGCTGCCGATTCTTCCAAAAATCCTTCCAGCCGCTGCAGGGTGCCTTGGCTCCAGCATGGCAAGAGTGCCGCAATGCGCAATGCCTTCTTTAAGTAACGCTTAATGCAGAGAGAAAGATTATTGCAACTGCCAGATTCAAGTTTGTAAACTTTCCTGAAGCATTACCCTTGGAAGATCTAGGACATCAAGGAGGCTTTCGCAGCACAATTCACGGAAATTAAGCAGCTGAGGTTTGTTTGGGTGCCTGAACTCGGCTTTGGAGCGCAGCCAGAGCTGGCAAGCGTGGCAGGAGGTAATGGATGCTGAGCCTCCTTTCGAAGTGACACTGCAGCTAAGCCTTCCGAACATGCCGGACGTCACGACGCACTTGCATCTTCGTCATGCGGAGTGGAACCACGAACCTTTACTTCGAAAGGATTTTCTTGTTACAAGAGAATGTCACTGGGACCCCAACAGCTGGGAGAACACGCCGGACGTGATCTGCAAATCTGAAGCTGCAGAGGTTTTGGAGACAGTGCAGGATTGCCAGATTGAGTTTTTGGGTTTGGCTGAAGAGGCCTATGGAAACATTTCAGTCACGTGCCGCAAGCTGCTCCCGGGAACGGATCAGAATTTTGAGAGGCTGCTGCAAAACGAAAGCCTTATTCATGCAAAGGAGAACACCGAGTTGCATGGCCAGGTTGTGTTGGCCCATACGGTGGAGGAAGCGCAAGAAGCGGCCAGGCAAAGTGCAAGAGCTGTGGTGCTTCTGTCTGAGAATACTGAGGGCTTGCCTAGAAGTCTGCCCACCTTCCTTGTTGACTTGGAGCGCCGTCCAGCATTTCTTCCAAGTGGGACCAGGATCCTCAAGTACTCGCCCAAGCTGCCGGAGGCCTGGTCACGTTTTTCCAAAGGTTTTGACTTCTTCCAGGAGGTGCACCTTTACCTTTCCGGAGAAGAGCCATGGCTCAGCACACGGCACCGTGTCTACGAGATGATCAAGGCTGTGTCTCTTGAAGGCCTGGACGGCGCTGCGTCTGAAACGCTGCAGCGACTCCGCAAAGCCTTGCGAATCTCTGTGACGAAGCCGGCGAAGTCGCTCTTCGAGCAGATTGATGGGGCAACTGAGCAGGAGGTTTTGCAGTGCTTCAAATTGTCTGACACCAGCCAAGTCTCGCAAGATGCGCGGCGCTTGCACGAGGCTTCCCAATGCTTTCCTTTGATGTGGGACAAAGTCCAAATGGCTGGGCCTCCTTATCCTCAAGTCTGGGATGGCGGCATGCGTTTCAGCGAGTTGCCAGATATTCAGGCTTGGGATGCTTTCCAAGTGCACCCAGTGTGCGCTCGCTTAAGTCTGGCTTTTATGGCTGCGGAGATGTCACGAGCCCCCTACCCGAACATTACTGGTGACGGCTGGAGCGTGAGCGCTTTTTGGGACTCAGCCTTTAAGGCAAATCCTTGGTGGCTTCAGCAGCACTTGGTGGACTACTGCCTTCAACCAGACACTGCGGTTTGTACCTCCTTTACTGTCTGTTGGGGCATGCTCTTGCGCCATGTGACCAAGCTGATCCACCCCTTCTGTGACGAGAAGGCACATCTAGGATTTAGGATATGTCCAGCGCACATGATAGACCTGGCCCTATCCCCTCAGCACCCTGGATGCACAGTGTACGGAAACATTGATGTAGGATTGCCGACAACACTGAGAATGAGCCAAGAGAACTTACAGGAGCACTGGGTCACCAGGGTCCATAAGCCCGACATGACTGTGCAAGGCGCGACGGTTTCCCGAGATGCCAGTGCCGGAGGAGGAGTTCCGCGCGAAATTGGGCAACTAACTTTTCTCAAGGAGGTGGTGAGACAAACTGCTCCTTTTCACTAGCTGTTGCATTAGTTCCTTTGGTCGGTCTTCGCTCTGGCTCTCATACAAGAAGATCGCCGCCAGCAGCGTGCTTTCAGCGACATGCTTTCCTACAAGCAGAAGCTTAGAACCCTCAGCGATCGATGGTTGCGCCTTGAAGGGTCTGCAAGCTTGAGGTTGTGGCAGGTTAGCTGAGGTGTGGCTTCTTCTCTCGGATCCGATGCCTTGTGCCCCCTTGTACGAGAAAGCTCTGCCAACTTTGCCTCATTCATTCTCTAGGCTCAAACCTCATGAGATCTCATGAGAATTTTAACCAGCGTGCATTCAGCAAACTGATGCCCTGCAGTGGGGTGAACTGATGTAATTTCTGTAGATCTTTTTTACATCTTAGGGGGTGAAGGTCACCAAGTAGACCTGCATGTAGACTGCCGTCTTTGGTGCTCAAGCATGGTTTGGGCTGCGGCTGCACCAGAGATCCAGAGGTTGAGCCCGGAGGTTGTGGTGAAACTTGGCTTAAATAGTTGAGATGCATGCGAGCTTGACCTTTCGAGGGCTTTGAAGTGAAGACTGCACGCGGCACCCCGTGCCTTGCGAGTGTATACGTCTCCAGGCCCCGTGCGATGCGGATGCTGGCATGTTGTAGCTTGTTGTAGGATACGACTTCGTGCGGTTGCATGACGGCTTGTCCTGACTTCTCCAGAGGGAGTAGTACTCATTTTCGAAGTCAGTTGCTGAAGCATCTGGCCGCGTTGTGATCTGATGTTGACCCAGCTGCCTGGTGTTGGAATGCGAGGAAGCTGCGTGCCGGCATCCAGGCAGATTCTGCAAGCGGCATACGAAATCTTATTATGGGCATTTTGCAAGGAGTAAAGGTCGGCAAGAAGCTGCGCCCGGTTGTGCAACGTTCACTCTGCCATAGTTCCTGCCTTGTACGAGCAATTTGAGAATTGCGGCCCCGAAGGGTGGATGAATCCGCGGCACTTTGGTCTTGTGGCAAAGTGCTTTGCACAGGTACCCAGTCCCGAGCGGATTGCTGAGGATGGCAGGGCTTTTATCGTGCAGTCAGATAGGAGTGAACTAGATTCCCGGTGCTTCGTCCTGTATCCTCCTGAGACATGGTCAATGGTAAGCCTTACAGGTAAGCATGGCTCTCATGCTTATTAGGATATTTTTTCTGGGCGTGGTGGAAAGGCATTTTCCGAAGAGTGCTTCTGCAAGGGGATCAGATTTTGCCGGCTTGGCAGGAGCTTTTGATCGGCTCCTTGGCCGCGGGGGCTGCAGATGTGCAGGTGGGGAGGTTATCACAATGGGCTTATATGGGGGTCATACAGGGGTATGTTGGGCTTTATAGGGTTATATAGGGATAGTGCAAAAGAAATGGAAGCTACTCTAATGGGTTATATGCGGATACAAGAGGGTTCTGGCTTCGCATGTAAGTCATATTGAAAAATACATTTGCAAGTATTTGTAGCAGCGGCTCTGGGCAGTTTCTGCGACGCTTGTTACAAAACCAGGCAGTTGGCGTGGCTGCCCAGAAACCTTCTTTAGGTCAGGATGCGCAGACCTAAGTGTTTGCAAGGCTATCATACCTGTACCATCCTTCTGCGTCGAAGCTTACAATGAAATTATTGCCCGCACGCTGAGATGGAACTTAGCTGCTGAACCCTATGCCTGAAACTTCAATCAGCACATTGGCTCCCAATCTTGTGAAGCTCTTTACGACCTTCATGAGTCAAGAAGTAGAAGTCGTGACAACAGGATCTTTTGCGGGTGCTTCCTTGAATGCAGCACGACTTGTTCCAAAGCCCATGTCCATCCCTGCCTACCTTGACCCCAAGACCCCAAGAACCCCAAACTTTGTTCCCTAAATGAAAACCTGGAACCCTGAAACGTAAACCCTGAGCCCTGAACCATCGTGTCACGCGAGGTTGAGCTGCAGGAGTCCTCCCTGGGTGCTGCCCTGACCGTGCGCGATGATGGTGCGGGGCGGGGTCTGGAGGCTGTGGATGATGTAACGCTGCTGGAGTATTCATGTCCTGATGGAATGTCTTTGAATTGCAAAGCAAGAGCCACATAAGTGTGGAGCTTTTGGGTCACTCCTTCCCGCTCAATGTGGGATGCCGCTATGGACCAGGTTTCGCATGCTCTCTCCGAGTATGCCTTTCGAGTGGTTTGTTTACATAATCTTGATGCTCTGTGCAGCTTCTGGGTACATTGCGAATTCGCGAAACCACCCTCGGGTGGAAAACAGCTTGGGTGTTTTGTAATTGTTGCAGATGCGTAGTCTGCGAGGTGCTTGGCCAACTGGGGGAGGGCGATGCGCTCTCCGCAGTGTGTGCTCGCTGTGGCCAAGTTGTCGTGCGAACCAAGGCCGGGAAGGGTTGCTGGAGGAAGCAAGGCTTTACGAGCGGAATCAGTATGTTGTGAACCATCTTAGCCTAGATGCCGCGGGGCTTCCTATGAATCAGCAGAGCTTTTTGTTTCTTTGTTCTAGTCTGCAAGGGCACAGACGCTTTGCCTCAGGTCGCAGGGCAGGGGACTATGTGCAAGATCTTTGAAGATGGGAAGGTGACCTACCTTGGCCCGTCCAGTAGCCCGCATGGAGGCATGGTCTTTGGGCGCTCCATGCAGCCGCCGCGGCATCAAAACCTGGCGCTTGCAAGGTCCAGGCACCACCATCCGAGTGGAGGGCCTTGGGAAGCTAAGGCAAGTTGAGGCCTCCAAGCATCCAGTCAATGCTGGCCCAAGGTGTGAACTGCTTTTCACAGTGTTTCAGGTCGCCTCGCTTCGGCGCCGCTTAGAGCGCCAGGCTGTCATGTCTGGTTTGGCTGTCTCTTCTTGGCTTCGAATTACATTTAGCCTTGCAAGGTCTTGGTGCGGCCACGGGTGTCACTTCGTCTGCGCTGCCCTGGCAAAGAGGCGCATGTGTCTGCCGAGACAGCAGCAGGGTTGGGATTCCTTTTTGGCGGGCCAGGGAGACGCCTTGGACTTGGAAGCTGAGCCTGCCATGGCAAGATTGGAGCATGTGCCTCGTGGCTTCACCTTGGGCACGTGTAGGATTTGCAGGGAAGATTCGGCAAAGTGCTTGTATTGGTTCATGCTGATGCTAAGGCTGGGCTTTGGCTGCACTCGTGCTCTGTGCAGGCTGGTTGGCGCGAGCATGTTGGAAGCATCAAGAATGCCGTTTTTTGCGCAGGGTGCATTCCTCCCCAGCAAATTCCACCTGCGCACTGGAAGGCTTTTGGAGGGCTGCAGCGAAGCACATCAAACCTGTCTTGGTATTTCGTCCTGTGGCTGACAACAGCGCTTTGTGTGCAGGCGTTGTATCTAGCCTGGATGATCCGCAAAGTACGGACCAGTTCATGTACCTTTATGCGACACGGACGTTTTCAACTATTTTTTTGGAGTCGCGCACAACAATGAATGCTTAAGAAGTTTTCATTCCAACAGCAGTTGAGGTGAATGGTCGCTATGTTGAGTCCACTCCCATCCACGAGTCAGTCGTCCGTCTATATGCAGCTGCAAGTCTTCAGATGCAAGGAGGCGCGGTTTGAGTTTCACTCAGTTGGTAAAGGCATGTAAGGCCACCTCCGTGGCGGCTGCTAGATTTCCGGCTTCGCTTTTTCTGAGGAAAGGGCCCCGCCTCGGTGAGCTCAGTGGCCGCCGGAGGACCGCACAAAACATGCCAAACTGGGAGAGCAAAGCGATGCAAAGCGTTTGGAATTTCTTGGCCTTCGCCCTACGCCCCGCCCTGCAGGAGCCTGGCCGTTGTTTGTCCTCAACTTCCAGTGCATGGAGTCTCAGTGCGTTCAGCCCCTTGACCTTGTGTTGTTGCCATAAGCCATTATGGCCACCAAGGCCCTGATCATTGGGTCGACTGGGCAATCATGCCGGATCGGTCTGTCATACAGTGCCTTGCCTGAGCTTACGGATTGATGTCTAGCTTCGACTCTATCCCAACGCAGCCGATGTCCAACACGGTACCTGGCACAGGTTCAGCAACTGGAGGCAGCCACTGCGCTTCATCCATACCTGCCTCCGTCACGTGTGGCTAGGGTGCGTGCCTCAGCCACTGCCTTCGTTTTGGGTTTGCGATGGGCAGGAAGGATCAATGCTGACACCCGCGGCTGTCACGTATGGCAGGCGCCAGTGCGGCCAGGAAGCACTCGGCTCAGCCGCTCAAAGGCAGGATGTATTTTGGGCAATCGGCGGGCTTTTCGTGAGAAACTTCCTTTGCTAGGTCCTGCTCTGCCCCAATGAGAGTCGTCTCGCATCCCTCCAGCCCTGAGAAGCCTCCTGCCAAGAGGCAGGCAGCTGAAACAGATCCCCAGCCTGAAGCATGCCAGACGTTTTCACAACCCCAGTGGCAGGCGCCGTGATTTTACTGACCAGGTGTCCCTCTTGGCCCACAGGCCATGCATTGTGTTGGGTTCTGTCTTGGAAAATCGTCAATCGTCAATGAGTCAACGTAAGGCAGGCAAGACTGGCAAGAATTTTTTCCTGTCAGCATGCCAGGATTGCCAATGCTCATATGGCCGGGGTGCACAGTGGCCGTGGTGGCAGGACGGACTGTTACATATTTGCACACCATTTTCCAGGCAAGTTCTTCCACTGACAATTGACAGGAATGTGCTCGCTGCCTGACAGAGCTGGATTTGCACGAAATTGGGAATTCAGAATTTGCGGGTGAGAACTCGCTCGCTCACCTTCACCTTGAGCCCGCATGGAGTAGAAACCTGATTGTGGAGACCGCCCGCCCTTGCAACCTGTGACCTCCATGCAATTGCGTTCCATTTGTGGTAGCTTTTGGCTCCGTTTCTGATTGCCAGGAAAGCACCCTACATGAGAGACGAGCCTGCAGCCCCAACAACAAATGATATGGTAGCCAAGATGAAGCGACATAAAAGTTGGTACTGCGCATTCCCGGCCAACCCCCTCTGCTAAAAAGTGGAGATAAGAAGAGTAGACGTGTTTTTACGCTGATTCTTGCAAGGCTTTAGCTCGAACATCAATCCCGTCATAATCCACAAAGGCCGACAAAATCCTATGATGCCACAGTGTAACCCTACAAAGCCTGCCGTTCACAAGATTTTCAGCCCTCCAAGACCTCATGAACCCTTCGAAGCTTCGCCAAATCCAGAAAGGGCTCAAAACTCGGTTGCCTGTTTTTACGGTATTCCTCAGGTGGACCCCCCGCCCGTTGACACTGACTCTAAGGGATAGTAGTAACTATATCAGGGTCATATTATATTCCCATTATACCACTATTGCAGGGTGGGGGGGGTCTTCCTAAAGTATGACCAAGACCTTAAGCCCTAAATCACAATCCAAGAAGCTGGCCAGAGGTATTCCTCCTACATAACATAGCTACCCATATTTGGGGGGAGCTAGGATAGTCTATATCAATACAACAAGGGGAGCTAAAGAGCCCAGGAACCTCCAAAACCATAGGGGAGATAGCCCTTTTACACTGCTTCAAAGTGCAGCCATGCCTCGAGTGAGTCGTGCTATTTGGCTCGGGGCACTATGGCCAGGCAAGGGCCTTACTTTGAGGGGTCTAGGGGCTTAGGGGTCAAGGGGGTTTGGGGGTTTAGGGGTTAGGGGTCAAGGGGGTTTAGGGGTCTAGGGGTTTTGGGGGTTTAGGGGTTTTGGGGGTTTAGGGTTTAATTAGGGGCTCAGGGTTTAGGGTTCGGGTCCTAGTGCTTTAATCCCCTTCTCCTAATATTAAACCCCCCCATCCCCCCCCCAATGTTAGAAATTCCCATTGTGGTACATTGTAATTATAATGTATTGGGGATATTAAGGGTGCTGGGGGGTTTGATATACGGGGGAGGGGATTACTTGAAAGGGCTTGTCCGGTCCGACCTCTGGTCAACAAGGAACGAAGGAATGGAGAAGGAAATGGGAACTACCATATTATTGGAGAGAGTATCCTACACTTGGGGTTCAGGTTCAGGGGTCAGGTTTGCTTGGAAGAAGGTTTATGCTTGGGTTCAGGCTTTAGGGGTCTCCAGAGGGTTTATCAAGATTTATCAGGCTTGGTAGGCGTGATCCCGTCGACTCCGGCCCTTCTCTGTGTCCCGCTGTCTTGGCTGCCTGTCCTGACGTGGTTGATCCCGGCGCATGCCATTAGGGTGTACATAGCCATGGGGCGCCCGAGAAGTGGCCTTACCCCGAAGCCCCCTTCTCTGACCCCCCATGCGCTCGACCCCAGAATCTTTACGCTCTACGTTGCAACCCCTGACCAGAGTGGTTAAAGTGGCGCTCGGATTCCTTGGTAGGTTTCATCTCGGCTTTGGCTTTGATGTAGAGTGCACGGGCGTGATTGGAGTACAATGGAGTTCATGAATCAGGTCCCCAAACCATGCAGCTTCCCAGGTTGGATTTATATGCACTGATTGGTTGGAGAGGGACCCATGAGATTTTGCAATTGGATTGGCTGTGGCGTTGTCGGCAGAAGGGGCTACGGGTCTGCTTCTCCGTAGCAGGCTCACAGCAGAGTGCCCGAGGTGTCATCATGCTGTCTGTTTGAGCTAAACCCCTTTGCTGGCGTTTTCGAGCAAAGATCCTGCAACCTATCTAGTGGCTCCCCCCGCCCCCCAAACCTTACGCCCCAAATTCGAACCTTTCCAGGCCCAGCAGGGTCCATTTGGCCCTTCGAAGCCGATGACTCTCCGACAAAGGGTGAGGAGAAGGCGAGGAATCTGAATTGGGGTTTAGCAGAATTCTGGGGTTACTCCGGGATATCTACAGCTGAAAGTTCCAGGTCACTCATTCGTTTCCTCTCTGCATGATCTGAACGGACTGGGCCAACTCCGATTTCTGCAGCGCTCATCACTAGTTCGCCATTGATAGCGTAGTAGCGAAATACTCCTCTCTTTCATGATATTCTGAGCTATATATGTATTTGATTCAGGAAGCTTGGCATCGGGACGGTTACATAGAAGCTGGTGCACGTACTTCAGATGAGCCTTGGATGGAGGGTCTCGTGCCTGCTCCTTTCACAGACTTGTTCAAGCTAGTTAACGCCTTTTTGATAACTGGAATTGCAGGGACTTTTGCTTAGGGACCCCTATGTATCTCACGAGGCTTCCATGTTGTTGGGATAGTAACCTGGTATCTCGCAAAAAGGGAAGCCTGAATTCAAGCTGAGCGAATTTCCAGGTGCAAGGCATGCAGGGCATGCCTCATGGTGCCCATCTTGCCTTCGCCGGGTCACCCGCTTGGGCCTCAGAGGAATTCAAACCTCATTCTGGTAATCGTCGCCGGTGCAGTTAGCAAGGATTTTCGGGTGTAGTGGTAACAGCAGCACGATGTTTCTTAAAGTTAGCATTGGCATCACAATGACAATCAACGGCAGGTCAGGGAATGACAGGAGATAAATTCTACCCTGTGCTCCCAAGCCCTCCAGCCCTTTGGACACTGGATCTTCTTGGATGCCAATGAGGTCATAGTTGTGGAGCGCCACATGGGTCACAACCCGTGGGAGGAGCCGCGCAAATCCTTATCGGGTGAAGCTGGCCCGTTCTGCTGTTCCCTTCCAGGACCTCCACAAGAATATGGAGAGGGTCTTCCAGCAGCAGGCTGGGCTGAGGGGGGAAGAGCGGAGTTGTTGGCCAGCGTTTGTTACAGTCCCTGTTCATTCCCTTCTCTTTCCTTATCAGAGAAGAGGAACCTCAGTTTGGAGACAACCTGCTAGGTCGCCGGAGGCTCGGCAGGTAGCCAGGCGTTGATGCCGCGCCCCATGCAGGCAGGAACAGAACAGAAGGCTTGCTTTGCTGCGGGGGGGGAGAGGTGTAGACTGCAGCATGCGAGGGCTGGCACATCTACCCTGCTTGGCATGGGCTTGGATTGTCTCTTTTGTCTGGCAAGTTCAAAGCATTTGTACGGACCAAGATCTTGACTTCCTCAGTGATGCACTTGCGCGCTTCAGTGAAGCGCTGATCGACGCCCTTCCGAACGGGCTATCCGAAGATCTCTTCCGCAGCTTCAGTCCTTGCGCCTCCTGCGAGGAGTTCCAGCGCTGTAGCGAGCAAAACGATGGCAGCTACTTGATGTGCATGGACCACCTGCAAAACGAGTCTGCCGCATACTCTGTGGGCGTCGAGCACCACGACAAGTGGTCACTGCAAGTGCAGGAAGCACTGACGGTCCCTGTTTTCCAGTTTGACTGTACCGATGCCTGCAACTTCATCAAGCGGTGCCTCATCGGATCGGGAAAGGTCGACATTTCTCGAGCCCGCATGGACCTTGTCGGAGGTCTTGCAGAACACCACGCAAGCCGAGGCCCCTGCACGCAGCCTCATAGGCAAAATTGATGTCGAGAGCTCAGAATGGCCTGCTCTGGCTTCCGCAGAGGTGTCAACACTGTCGAAGTTCACGCAACTCATTGTAGAGTTCCACTGGTTGTCCAAAATGGAGCAACATGCCAAGTACCCAAAGACAATGCGGCAATTGCTATTTCATGGTAACAACTGGCACAACATGTTCGAAATGAGCGGGTTCTCGCTTCTGGACGTGGTGGAATTTACCTTGGACTGGCAGGCCCCTGCGAATGTGCCCAGGACCAGGAGTTCAGCTCCCTCAACACTCCCAATCCAGCGGCGCTCGAGCTGCCTGCTTCTCTGCCTGTCTTTGGCTCACCTAACTGGCGAAGCTCTTTGAAACACTCAGCTCCGGCCGGCTCAAAGACTGGCCGGCTGCGCACAATCCCTTTAAAGGAGGGAATGCTGCATTCAAGGCAAGTTCTCCTCCAGCCCTTTGTCGTTTCTCCTCAAAGTCACCCGATGCCCCTGCACATCCCTGCACATCCCTGCACTTTGCCCTTGCTGGCCAGATGCAGATGCAGCTGGGTGGCTTGCTGGACATGTTTGGCGACCACCACGCAGGACAGCAACAGAGAGCTAAGTTGGTAACGTGGAGTAGGGTTGAAAAGGAAGCGCTTTTCGGGCTTTTCTATTCTGCCTCAGGACATGTGGGCCTGGCTCAGGGCAGCTTCCAGGCCTCGAAGGGATTCTGGAGCTGAACTCTTTTTACTTCGTGGACGCTTGGGTCGCAAAATTGTCGCCAGGTACATGACGATCACGAGACCCAGATCGTCATTTCAGCCGTTCTCCCTGGATACGAGGCCTGTCCCCGGAGCTTAGGGTTCAGGGTTAGATTTGCAAGTCCCAGATTTGCGACTTTGGGCCTTTTTTGAGATTCTCGGACTCGGAGTATTGCTTTGCTAAGCTATCCCAGCTCTCAGCTTGTGGCAGTTTGGCGCCGCCAGTGCTTCTAGCGAGAAGCCGCTGTCTGTGCGAGCCATCCGTGGTAGGCCACCGGAGCTTTTACTTTGACTGTTGTAGTTAGGTTTGGGCTTGGGTTTAGTGCGTGGAAGTCTTGAAGGAGTTGACAGAAGTAATTTTGCTGTGTATTCTTGCTAAACTGGGTAGGCTCTGGGGCCTGTTGGGGACATCTTCTTTAGTCCAAAATTGCTGAACAGCTGCTGTCACACTTTTGACCCCACGGATGCCCATCAGACCTTTGGTTCCCTGATTATCTGCCGCAACTTCCATGCTGGTATTTGCTGAAACTGACGGCAACATGACATCATGGGCATACCTGTGACAGTTATGGCCATATGACTCACAGCCCTTCTGCGAACGTTGTAGAAGCCTCTGGTAGTAGCTGCCTCTAAAAAATGATGTGGGGCTGGACGTTGATAGTTGTAGGGGAGTTCATTGTTGTGTTCCGGGACGAGTATTTCATAACTACAGGGACTGTACAATTTTGAGGTCAATAATCGTTCCAGACCCTACTCTTGTGTCCTTACATGGAATCAAGGGTGCTATTCTCTGTTCTTTGGCGAGTGAGTTGTGATGATCTTTTTGGTGATGATGGTGATGAATTATACTTGTGCTACACTTTGTTTTTTTGTGCTTTCTTGGCATTTTCTCAACATCAAAACTAGTTTCTGCGACTATGCTTCTGGCCTCTCTCTGAGATTCTCCTGGCGCCAGGTCTCTAGTGATCAGCGGCCGGCACCGGCAAGGGCCAATTGTTAGCTCGTGGCAGGCAGTGTGAGAGTCGTGTCGAGATCAGGGTTTCTCAGAAAAATATGCTGGCGTGAGTCAAGACACAGCCGGTGGATTCAGGAGCCTTGACTGCCGGACCATCCGAGCGGTGCAGTTACCTAGAAGTATCAGTTCTAGAAACTGTTGTTTGTATTAGTTGCAGGCGGGTGCTGCTGGCAGATTGTGTTTCAGCTCGGGAAAGAGCATGACAATGGTGACGGCATCAGAAAACAGTTGGAACCTCTGAATGAATTCTGAATGCCTGAATGCATCTTTTCTTCTGGTCTGGTGCAGAATGCTTCAGCTACTCATCAAATCGGCTCCCCTTGTCAGTCCCTAGGGCCTAGTTCCAACTTTCCTCCTGAGATGTCTTCTGCACACTGCCTGCTTCCAGCGCGTCTTCTCGCTGCCGAAGGGCTCCGATGTGAGTCACGTTTCAGTCACGTGCCCTTTGGACGGAGCAGTTGGATAGCTAAAAACTGGCGCTGCTGTCCTCTCTTGCATCGGACTGATGCTTCTTCACATAGCCTCCAGCAACTGAAAACAGTAGACAATCTGGTTGTTTCAACAGTAGCGTCCGTGGAGGGAGAGCTCTACAAATTCAATGGTGCTGTCGAGAAACCTCCGTCTGCAAGGTACAACTCGGGCACCGGCAATCTCACTGTGACCGTCCCCAGGACGAATGCTACAGTGGCGGAGGCAGCCGCAGCAGTGGCTTTGTGAGTCTCGCAGCGGGATCCTTTGTCCTTGCTGTGTGCTTGGATTGCAGAGTGTAGCGTCCCTCAACCCAAAATCCTAGGAACCTAGCTCCGAACCCCGATCCCCGGGTAGGCAGCGGAGGATGAGGAAGGCTCCGGCATGGATGCGCCTTGGGCCTGTTGTGGTTGTGAGGGTCCCCAAGCTCAATATCAAAAGGGCGAAAGCTGTGCCTGGGGCGAAGCACTTGAAGCTGAAGCCCACCATGCTAAGGATCCCGAAAGTAGTCCCAACGACATTCCCCACACTCCGTAAACTCGTATTCGCCACCGAGTACCAGGGAGCGTGGGGCTTTTCCAAAATTGGGCGTACCTGTGCTAATACTTCGGATGATAGTATTTTGGGTTCCATGTAGGGTTCTCCTGTTTATGGAAACTGCGAGTGCTTGCAAGGACATGCTCCCCCCCGCGCTGCAAGCGCTGCGGCTGGGACCTGAGAGGGTAGCTTCCACGGGGCACCATTATTACTTTTGTTAGTATCAATTTTCCTATTCTTATGAAGTCTTTTATTCTTGCCATCAGTTTACTTTTGCTATTAGTACCATGATGACACGATTACAGTTCTTTTGTATTTTGCACCTTGTAAACTGGTTGGCTTACATCCGCAGATCTGCTAGTGGGAGACCACTCCTCCCTTGCGCCCTGGTTTTTGTTCGGGGGTTGGGAGGGATTTGAGATCCAGTAGACAGTCAGATGCCACAAGCGACGAAGGTCACGCAGAAGCCACGTCTGAAAACGATGCGAGTCATGATGGGTCATGCAGATTTCGCCCTCAACGCTCCCCATTCCCACCCATGGTGGACCATACCATGAAGGCGTGGCAGGAACAGGCAAGAACGCCAGATGCATGCCCATGGACGCATTTGCATTACGAATTTTTGCTTGCTCAACAGCATCGCATACTGCGGGGACTTGATTTCGGCCTTTTCATCTATCCTGCCTGACGACCACGGAAGTTGATGTGTTGACATCTTGAAGGCAGACTGTGCCTCATTAGGACCGGTGTTCCCATGCTGGTCGGCAACATGGGTGCCCTCCAGGTGGGCGGATGGAGAGGGAGATGCGGCCAGCCTTTTGCGGAATGTAGGGTCCTGACTCCTGATTGTGAGCTTCGCAGGCGTTAGGGGAACATTCTGCCTGAGGATTTCAGAGTTGTGATGATACTTTCCCATCTCTGCTTCGACCGTGCAGTCTCACCAGGACGTGCGAGAGTGGGTGGTCTTTGTCTGTGGTGTTGTTATGTGTTGCTATAGCTTTGAGGATTAATTAAGATGTGTCATCAGTGGAAACAATGTGTGCAGGTTCTGTCGTTACAATACTATGAGAGCCATATAAGTGAAGCGGCATGTAGCAACAAACCGGGATTTCAGGTTGAGGCCAGGGGTTAGGGCTCCCTACGAAGGGGTGAAAGGTCAACTACATGAGGGCTTCGCCCTTGGCCATGCTGATTTCTTGCAGCCCCTGTGGCTCAAAACACGGCATTTAGAGCCCCTGCGGGCTTGGCACCCTGGGGGGGCTCCCGAACATAGGGAGGATGCAGCCGGCTCAGGTTGATTTTGTAGTTTCCCCAAAATAGGGGACCCCAATATAGACCCCAAAATACTACAGTTCCTATTATGGGGACGCCCAAAATGGTACCCATAATTGTAAGAAACCCCCATTGTTTGCCGTTTGTGGACCTCCAATTTCTGCCAATATTGCTGCTGCAGGGTGGGCCTGATGTGATCATTGTGGGCCTATTAGAAAAGGAGCTACAGCCTAAACTCCTGAAAGGCTGGTTACATAGGGATTGTGAAATTATGCAGGGGAGTATTATAGGGTTGATTGAGGAGGATACTAGGAGTTTAGACTATAGCTCATATAAACTGATACTCCCGCCGCATGAGGTCGCTGCATGGCGACGTCGCATCTGCCATCGGCCAGCAGGCTTGCAATTTGCAGTCTGACCTTCTAAGACTGTTCATGGTCTCCAAAAGAGCTTTTGTTAGAACCGTAGGGGGCGATCTTGTTGACATTAGATTCTCGCATTTGCTTTCTTTGTCGGAGCTAAAGACCGCATGCATGCTGAGCATGAAGAGCCTAGAGCTGATGGACAAGATGATTAAAGATGGAAGCAGCGCAGTTTGTACAGGGAAGTCTTGTCAAACTGTCAACTTGACGTCACGGCAGACTTGTAGAGATGGCCCTGCAATTTCAATGCTGGCACCTTGGCACTTGCAGGTGGAGCAAATGATCCTACAGGCAAAGAAAGACTCTGAGGCCCGCGTGAGGCGGGCGATTGGAGCACCCGCATGGCGTCAGGTTTGTTTCTCACATTGAGGGCCATCTTCCTTCGCTTCCGGACATTTTTCTGAGGGCAAGGCTTCAGCTTTCTCAAGTGCTCAGCTTCCACAAACCAAGGCAGCTTTCCTGTGATCAGTGTGGCTGAACTGCAGAGACTTCCGCGATGCCTTTTGCGCCCATTGGTTTGCCAAAGTAGCAGATGGCATGCAGAACGCGCTGCACAGGCACGAGCTCAATGTTGCCCGGAGCCAGCTGACACAGATGGAGGCGTTGGGGAAGATTCAGGATCCAGGTTTTTGGAAGATGCTTGCGGATTTGCCAACTTGGGCGAAGGCGTAGTTCCTGCTAGTAGTCATCAGATCAAGCTGATAAAGACAACCAGCATGAGCGACAGTCATGATGGCGACCGCACCTTTGTTGCAATGAGAAGCCAGCGCAGTCAGCTTGACCTGGAAGTTGCCACTCCGCTGCAGTCGCACATCCAAGAGCTGTCGGACCGCGTCTCCCGCTGCGTTCGAATGAACTCAGCAGGCCGGCTGGGTAATATGCAGCATGTACAGCTGGTTTCAGGGCTGCTGCCCATGCTACAGGCGCTACTGCTCTTGCTGCTGCTGCCGCCGCTGCTGCTGCTGCTGCTACAACCACCACAACAACAGCTGCTGCCACTACTACTACTACTACTACTACTACTACTCCTGCTGCTGCTGCTGCTGCTGCTGCTGCTGCTGCTGCTGCTGCTACTCCAACACGACTGCAGCGACAGCAGTATGTTGACAAGAGCAACTACCACAAGAACGACTGCCACAACTGCTGTTGGTTACGGGGCTGCCGCTATTCTGGGGGCTTGCATGCTGTTGTCAAGCAGGACGCGAATCTGCCTGTTTGTAAGTCCTGCACATGTCTTAACCCTGACGTCAGAATGCTGGCGTTAGTTGCCCATGAATTTCTGTCAACCATTTGCTTTGGAGGTACTGGGGGTGGGCTGGATCCGTCGGTGACCGTGGACCGTGCCTTTTTAAGCCGGCAGGCCAAGAGCTGTCCTTGTTGCCAAAGGTCTTTGTTACCATCTCATTCCTATGGAAGTACTGGTTCTTAGCAGGAGGGAATAAGGGAATATATTACATTATAGGATATATATATATATGTATATATAGAATATACTCCCTTATTCCCTGCTAAGAACCAGTACTTCCATCCTCGTGGAAGGGCATTCAGAAGTTTTCTCTGGAGCAAGCGGCTTCGTATGTGATGGCCAAGCCAAGAGCAGGTTCTGATAAATGGCACTCCTCAGGCTCAGCACTTCCATGCTGTCAAGGGCTGCTTTGGGGTAAATTAGCAGAAGGATAGAGGTTGGCAAGGTATCCAAGATGTCTTATAAAGGGCAACGTATCTGTGATTTGTGATGCAATGGCCTTTATCCCTTGTAAACGGGCTAGGTTGCCGAACGCCCTCAGATATCCCAGGGCTCCTAAGCTTCGCATATGTCCGAAACAGCCTACATCTTCTCAACCTCCCTGAACCCTAAGCCACAAGGTCAGAAGATCAAGCAGTTGGAGCAGAAGTGGGGCTCAGAAGTGAAGGCTCTGAAGCAGGCCCCGGCCAGTCTCGAGTGCTTTAAGGTAATGCCTTGTTTGCTTTGGAAATCCAGTTGGCATTGATCTTCTTACGATCGATAGTGCCATTTGGGCGAGTTTCAGGGAACGGGGTCTGGAACCGAAGTGGCAAAGTTGCAAAAGCAGGCATCACAGCATTTGGCTGGTACCTTTGAGTTTCGATTCTGCCTCTATGCCAGGACCTTCACCGGACGATCCTCGCGCACAATCACAACTCCGATTTGATGCGCCACCACCGAGACGCGCTAGACGAGGCATCTTGGCACTGTAGGCAACACTTCAGGATTCGTAGGGAATCTGATGCTGTCTTTGTATTGGGATCAGGATTCACCTCGTCTCCATGTCAGTATGAAGCATGTAGCATTCGTTTCTACCTGCATACTTGTTGCATGTGCAGAATCCTTGTCATTCATGGTAATTTTAGCCCTTCCTAACTGCAAGCGCTGATCGTCCTAAAGCCCAAGTAACTGACCTAGTACAAGCCCAAGACCTCCATTCAGGTTTAGTTCCCTCCCAATATAGTCCCAATATATATCCTATTATAGTAGTTTCCATTTTCTTTTCCATTATCCCAATATAACCCCAATATAGTCGCAATATAACCCAATACCCTTCCTTTTCTGTGAGCCAAGAAAAGGTGCCACATTTTTTTAATCCTTAGCTCAGGCGCGCCGGAAGCTTGACAGCCAACCTGCCCCGAAGGCTGACCAGGCCCATCGGGAATAGTAATCATAATGATAGTAATAACACTAATGGTATTACCAGCAATAGTGATAGAATAAGCATAGTAGAAGTAGTATAAGAAATAATACTAGTAGGAAGAAGAGTAAGATTCAGGAGGGCTCGTGCTGTCCTTGTAAAAGTGCAAGGTTTGCAGCTGGTTTCGTATGCGAACAATGTTGTCACAATAATGGCTGCTGGAGTGTTTGTATCAGTTCTAGTCTCGAAGGTTTGGGTTGTGGAGTGAGGCCGAGTTTTCAAACTGAATCCCTACATCCTAATTAAACCTAAACCCTTAACCCCCAAACCCCAAAATCCCAAACCCTGAACCCCTCAATCCCGAAATCCTAAACCCTAAAATCCAAACATGATCCTCAGACCGGGCCCGCAGCCATCAGGTGAAAGGTCAGAAGGGATCATTGCTGGATGGGTTATATAGGGGCAATGGAAAATAAAATGGAAACTACTGTAGTACATTGGGGCTATATAGGGGTTATTTGGGGACAATGGAAAATGGAAATTGCATACATATTGGGGTTATATATGTACATAATATACGACCTCGGAATCAAGCAGGCTCGTGATTGGGAGGTTGTTGAATGTTTGCTTTGCCAGGGTTCTGTTTCGAGGCAGTTCTTTGCAGCATCCTTGTTGATGACATTCTGGCCTTCGCCCCACTTAGCAATGATTGTATGGATAGAAATCACAGATAGCAATAGTATAAATGGAAGGATGAAAATCACAGCCATACTAGTCAGCAGTACTATGCTCATAGCCCCTATAGCTTCCATTTCATTTTTTATCTTCTATTTGATTCTCCATAGTTGGGGGAAGATTCCTCAAAACCCGAAATCCTATATCCACCATGAGGAGCCGACATGGTCTCACCACGAAGCAGTGGGAACCTGAAGATTTGGAGAGCCTGCAGCATTCTCTGCTCTTCATTGTTCAAATTTGATCCTCGCAAACCCTCAAAAATAAGCCATGCTACGCACGAGCATCAAGTACAGCAGTCTTCCTGGACATGTCTCAAACTTGAAAACGGTTTTTGCCGTGGCTAGTTCCTGGGTTTAGGGTTTAGGAACCCCCTAATTCAAATTCTGAAAGCCTTGAATCTTTCACTTGTTTTCATTTGTTTGCCAGGTGGACGCTCAGATTGACAAAGTGGACCGGATGCTGAGGGCTGGCGCCGCAGGGGCCCTGGCTCTTCCGTAAGCTTTCCTCAGCTTTTTGTTTGGTGGAGGTTTCCGAAACTTGGGGTGGGGGTCCCAATCTTGGGGCTATAATGAGGTCCGCTGCGTGTGGAAACTACAAAGCATGGGATGGACACTGCTAAGGTTTGGAGGGGTGATGCAGGACTTCTGCATGATGCATGAAACAGCATAGGGATTCTGTAGGCCGATGACTGATGGTTTGCTTGAAGTTCCACTCTCGTTGTACGCGATACCCCTAAGTACTGCAGATTCATAGTGTTTGTAGAGGCATACTGAGCCAGGGGCTCCTACAAACTCCTGCCTGCCTTTAGCATTCCCTACTTGTGAGGTATGCCACTCCTCCCATTGGTCCATGGTCGGATGCTATGGCACTGCTATGCTGCTATGGTAAATATATTATAGTAGCTTATAACCCCTATGTGACCCCTATATAACCCCTACGTAACCCCCTCTATTTTACACCTCCTGTAAAGACTTGACTTTGCCCAGGCCAAGCAGAGAGCACTAGATGCTCTCACTGAGCGCCTGACCCAGCTGGAGTCACAGGTGCCCACCAGCCTACATCGCGCAGCCGCTGCTCCTGAAACATAGAGCTGACAGTAGCAATTAATTCTTGAGATGCGAGGATTCCCTGAAGTTTTGAACCAAGCCTTTGGCATGCGTTGCCAGGCGGCGCAGATGTTTCCGCAAACGCCTGGCACATATAGCACGACAGCTGTTCCACCAGGCCAGACGCCCAAAGATGAGTTCCACTGGTGATATGGGGTGTGGAACAAGAAAACGTAAAGAGGAAGAGTCAAATACTGCGGGGGAGTAGTAGCGCATGAACACCAGCTTTTTCAACAGTGCATTGCAAAGAGATCATCCTTGCAAGGCCGCCTGCAGGTCTTAACTAGCTGATCATGCGGAACAAGTCTACGTAGGTTGTCAGTCGTGGTAAAATTTACAATGTGGTCAAGTCATACCGGTGACAGCAGGGATGGCACAAAGGCGTAAGAGATGGAGAGCAGTAACGGCTGTAGTCAGAATTTGTCCGTGAATGCACGCAGCCGAAGTCAGGAGTTGTAGCAGCTTCGTGACGAGTGGCTAAAAGTATTTGTGCCCTGAGCCCCAGCACTCAAGTGTGCAGTCGCACAAAACTTGGGCAAGATAGTTGCCATGAGCAAGCAGGGTTTCTTATGGTATCCACGATGTTTGCATTCGCTGTTTTTCAAAGTATCCATCCAATGCTGACAGACACACACACACACATCTTTTTTTGGTGTTGTGCTATCCAGTCCTTCCATCTTGGCATCCTCAGGTTTGTCTGCGGCCCCCGCAGCTGCAGTTCCGCCTGGGACCACAGATGTTTGCTCCTTTCGGTGCGCATTGCTTCAAGCATCATTTGCCTGTGCAGACCTATCACATTGAGTCTCGCTCGGATTGTTGTCGTTGTCTGTTCAGGGTTCAGGATTTGTGCGGGGTCTTGTCCGCCTTTGGTGCAGCTGATGCTTGCACGTTTATCGTGGGAGCTGAGGAAGAAGCCGGGGAAGAAGGCCGGGGCATGCACTTGGGCAGCTCTGTGCGTACAACAGCAGCATAGCTGGTCAATATTCATCTCTCTTAGTTGGACTGCACTAAACCATCGTTTAGACTCCCTTTTCAAACCGACTATCCAAGTTGACTTTCCAGCCACCATCCGCAGCCGAAAGCCTGCACTGCCTAAAGTCCGTCAACTCTAAAGCCCTGAATGCTGCTGAAACAAGCCTTCAAATAAGCCATAATCTAAACTTCCGAAAGGCTGTACTAGGAGTTTACACTATTGCTCAGATGCCTTACATCCTAAAAGCCATAGAATCTCCGGAAGTTCACTGGCCAGGAGGGCGAGCTGCCTAGCGAGCTTGAAGTCCGTGCGCATTTGGAGAAGGCAGCCGCAGGGGGACTTCTCCCTATAGGATATTATTGGGGTTATGTAGGGATAATGGCAAAGAAAATGCAAACTACTACATCATAATAGGGTATATATTGGGGTTGTTGGGTCTGGTGTAGGTCTTTTTCGGTGCGTCCTAGTCTAGTGACTTCGGGGCATTGTTTGAATGGTAAAAGAGGATTTTTCAAGCTGCCTAACTGTGTATTCATTTTGGGGCGTTGGTTGAAAAAGACGAGTTGAACATATTTGCATCTCCACTTTCGGGAAGAGCATTGCACGCGAATTCCCATTTCCCCTTCCTCCCGGCATTGGAAGCAGTCCCATCATCATGATCGCTTGCTGCTACAAGTTTTCCTAAAGTCTTCTACTGATTAGGGAGAGCTTCCATGCCTGTGGCATCTCAAGCTGTTCTTATCGCTGTAATCACAACTGTTCATGCGCATTCTTTTCTGCCGTTGCCATCCGTCATTTATTCCCTCATTTGCGTCCCCGACAGATCTGACATGCAAGTGTTCCTGCTGTCATTGCAAGGCAGCCCTCGGGCAGGGCAGCAGCTTCAACGCAGAGGTGTGGCTTCCTTGTCTCAGGGCCAAGCTCTCGCCGTGTGCAGCAAAAGAGCTATCTTCCAACGCCCCTGTAACAGAATCCTACCAAATTTCTTCGACCCCTTGACAAACAGTCTTATCAGTGCACTTTGTATGTACACTGGCACAGTGGTGCAAGCTCATAGGCTCCTGGTCATGCTGCATCAGGGATGAAGGTTTTGTACCGTTTTTGCAGAATCTCTTCATCGAGACTTTAACAGCATTGTACACAGCAGGATGTCACAGTTTTTTGTCCTCGGGGTTCTGCTGGTGGAACATGTTGCCAGTGCACCTGTCATCAGATCTTTCATGCATCAACCCCAGAATCTAGAAGCAGAGATCACCTGCGAGGCGCCTGTCTTCGTCCCTCGTGGAGCTGTGGACGTAGACGCCCCCAAGGCTGCTCTCTCAGCAGCTGGGTGCGGTGTGTGACCCCTTTCCCTTTGGTTGGGACTGTCAGGAAGCCCTGCATGTAGGCCGGACTTGGAGGAGGCTTAAGAGACTCAGACTGTCAATCCTACCATTCGGAACTGTCAGAATGTCGGGTCCATCCAGAGCATCTCATCAAGCTCATGCAATTTTGAGTTCTTTTGGCGTTCATTCCTGATCTGAAGACTTGTGCTCCAAGCCAAAGCTCCCGGGCTATTATCTAAGTTATCCCTCTACAAGTAAAAAAAACCGCGTCCGATAATTCGCATTCCCCCCAATGTAAAACGGTACCTCATCACAAGGGGGAGGGGATTAACTCCGTTCTCAATCACCTACCAACCCAACTCATCAACACCCCCGAAGCTACCCCAAACCTTTTGCACAGCCTTTTTGTTCTACGACATCTTTAAACGCATCCTGGCTTCTAGGCTGCGGCAGTCGCCAAGGCAGATGCAGGCCAGAATTTTCCAGAACAGTGTTGGTTTGTATGCGCAAGAGAGCTGTCGGCTGGGAGTTTTAAATGGTTTGGGTTGAAAAATGCTTGGGGTATGTGCCGTGTCCCTTATGAAGTTGTGTAGGGGGTTTGCTGGTGTGTAGAGGCTTCGCGAGAGTTCAGGGTTTTGCACGGTGCCTTGATATGCCGTACAAGCTACTATCTCTACACCATACATCTCAATGTTTGAGGGTGTTCTCATGAGGGACGCTCAAATTAGATGAGATTTTGGGGCTGAACACAATAAGGCTCCATAATGAAGAGCCTACGAAGATCCCAAGATAGCCTCACCGGTACCACATTCTGATCAGCGACTCTGAGTCTTCAATTTCATGTGCAATGTTGAAAACAGCAAAGTCCCTCAAACCGCGCATGCCAGGTGCCCCCATTACCCTGCCCGTTCCCGCGGGAAGCCTGGAGGTGCCGCAAAAGTGTCACCGATTTTGGGGCTCTCGGGCTCTTACAGGGATTGCGATTTGTAACATCTTTCCAGTGTATGCCTCATCACTTGAGGAGTGTGTTGGAGAGCTTCATTGTGGTACAGATTCGTTTTGGAGAGTCTGCTGTTGAGCAAGTGACATCCAAGATTCTCCAGAGCTAAACCCGTGGCTCTGCGCCAGGTGCTCCCAGATACAGGCAGGGATCCTCGGATGATTGGCGTGCCTCAGTCTCTCAGTGCATCGGAAACGTTCATGCCAAGTATCAGAGTGCAAGCAGTGAGCTCTCTGGATCACCAAGAGGGCACGTGTGCAGGTGACAAGGATGAGGCAGCTGTGATCCAAGGCCGTAAAACTGGCTTAGCTTCAGGTCTGGCGTTTTCACATTTGGTGATTCATGGGTTTCATGCTAGTTTAGCGGATGCCCTTCATGAATCTGTGTGTTGGAAGAGCCATCGTGTCATCCCAGTTGTTAAGAAGCAAATCAGACCTTGTATACGGGATCCCAAACACGAATTTCATGCAGGTACCTCATGTGGGATCTCGACAATATCCTGCATCTTTGGGATGATCCTTGCCGTCTGTTTGCTTAATATTCTTCAGTTCAGCACAGCTGTCAGGTTGTAGGTCGTTTTGGAGGCCACTTAGACTGGGACCATAAACCATCCAATCCTACAATCCAGTTTACAACGACTCCTGAATCAACTGACATCCACAGTTTGATCACATATGAGTCGCATTACACTTTTGTAACCTTCCTTTTTGGACAAAAGCCGATGAGTTGGAAAGTGCAGTGTGGTTTCATGTATTCTATCTGATATCTGCATTAGGAGACCTCTAGCTTCAATCTGGAACAGCAAGTCCTTGATTACATGACCTTTCATACCCCGGGCACTGTCATGCTGCCACAATGTGCTGATGAAGAAACTCCTCTATCACAGTGCTGGGAGGGCTGCAGGACTTGGCTTCCCTTCACCGATAAGCTCCAAAGTCATAAACACGTTGAGCGTGTGCGGAGTGTTGGGAGGCGAGGGGATCACGTCACCAGAAGACCCGGCGGAGGACGGCTGGTTTGTTGAACTAGGGCTCCGTTCTGCGCGTTGTTGTCTTGTTTTGGGTCACTTTTTGGGGTTTAATGTTGATGAAGACCCCGCAAAATTTGCCTGGGAGTAGAGTTTCCTGGGATTTGTCGTAGAGGTAATCGAGATGAGGGTCAAACAAATAAGGATGATGTTGCGGATTCGTGACGCCGTAAGCCCCAAATTCCCCAAGCGTTGAACCAAAAGAGCTGAACACTGTTGAGGACCTCTATCCAGAGGCCATCATAAAAGGAGCCGGGATGGAAGCCCCCAGCATAAAGCATGAGGCATTCTAGCCTTACAGTTGGTTGGAACCCTTTGCGCGAGAATTTATGCTATCGAAAGAATGTGATAAGTAGAAAACAGTCGCTGGAGGTTTCGCAGACCTTCGCGTTATGGAACGTGCGTCTTCAGGATCCTCCCTGAAAATGCGCAATGCAAGCCTCCTAGAGAAACTGCGGCCAACTGCCCCAGACCGCGACCGCCTGGAGCTTGCAACCTGAGTGGCGAAACTCCGCGCCCCAAATGCAGAATCACTTTGGCTCAATCGCAACTGAATAGCAGTTTTCAGAGTTTCGGTTTAAGCCGGCAAGAGCCGTGCCAAAAAAAAAATCTGAATATCCTGGATCCAGTTTGGAGGTCCGTATTAGAACCATATCATGACAGGGGTTCAACAAGGTCACCCTATTGACATTCCCCCATGCCATCCACACATTAAATGACAGAAGCTTACATGCAGTACTGTCCTACTAAGAGATGTGTCAGGCTGAGGAAGCCTCCGCAGAAGCCGAAGAGGCTGCCAGTGTCTTGTAACATAGTAGTTTCCATTTTCTTTTCCATTATCCCTATATCACCTCTATACAATAACCCCTATGCAACCCCAATATCTACCCTATATAACCCCAATTTTTACCCTATTATAATAGATTTTGGCATGAGGGCTCCCGAGCTTCTCAAGGGGTTCAGGGTGCACGGCAGGAGGTAGGTAGCAGGATTTTGGTGGCTCCGTGCTCAATGCAAGCTTCATGCATTTAGAGGTGACTTTGAAGTTGTGGCATGCGCTTCTTGAGTTCAGCTTTGTGGTTCTGGGAAAGGACCCTTAGCGCAGGGTGTAAGCATCTTGCACGTCATGAATATACAGGCAGTTGCCGCAGGTTGAGCCCAGTTTGGATTAGGCAGCGTGTTGCATTTTTGTCTGCAAGCGCAATTCGTTTGGAAGAGCCCAGTTCAGAGGCATTCTTGTCTTCAGAAGCACGCTGCACAGACATCACCGCTCTGAGGTGGTTAGATCTCAAAGCTATTCAGCAGTCGGGTGGCAGTGAGATGGGACTCTTTCGTACTGCTTGTTGTTGTAGACGTACTGCGCGAGCCCCCTAAACCTTGCCTCGAGCATTCCGACCACGTGGCTGGCAATGATGTGATAGTCTGCCTTCATGCAGGATTGCTTTAGATACAGAAACCTCAAGGGAGCAAAAGTTTCTGAGTCTTAGAGTCTATGCTTTTTGCCGGAGGCTACAGCTCCGGCCGCAGCGTGATCCAACGCAGCAATCTGAGGCAGCTTGGGCATGATCCTGGCTTAAGTTTCCTGTGATGTGCAACATGATTGGAACAAAGATTGGAATACATACTTTGCCATGGGTCTAGGTTCTCTCCACCAGCGAAATTTGATTTCAGAATTGCAAAGTGTCACAAAGATGGTAGTTGACAAGCTAAGTGATGGAGGTTCGAAAGACTGAATCTGGCCCCTCTTGGCCAAGGGGGGCCTGTTCTTGTCCGCGATTCAGAGCGTAGAGTCGGCGTAGAGCTGCAGCACCCAAGCTTCCCACGATCCATGTCTGTCAGCAGTTGCTTTCCATAATGTGATTCAGCACATGGGAGGTGCGCTTGTCAATCATTGCGTTTTGCCGGCAGAAGGCCAAGAACGAGAGACAGGTTTGAGGGCTTTACGTTCTGTTCTGCTTTTGGATCTGAATTTGTGCAGAGAGATTGCTGACTCCGTCTGTATCATCGATGTCAGAAAAAGTCCTTAATCCTAGGGTCTGATTAATATGGGGGCCCCCCCCCCCCCC